TGGCATCTCCTATTTCTCTACAGAGGTAAGAATAAGAAATGAAAATGCCCCCTAACACCTTTCTCATCACAGAAAGATGCTACACAAAGGGAGAATATTGTTATTGATCGCATCCCAGACAAAATGGAGATTCTAGAGATGGTAGAAATTGAACAGGAAAAAAATACCTTGGCTCTATGGAGTTTCTGGTCTAAATACATGAAGACATAATTCTCAGTTTAACCCATCTCATTTGCAAGATGCATTGTGAAACACAGTGCTGATCGTTTAGGACAAAGGATGCAAAGCGAGCAGGAAATCTAAATATTCCCAGAGGGAACGTTTTTTCTCGTTAGACTATGTAGATAGACAGTGTGAGGCTAAAAGCCTTTCTAATGATAGTGCTAGGGATGGAGCTTACACAGGTGTGATAAGTTATGTACTTTATATTTGTAGGATGGCAGTGATTTGTGGGACATGATTTGATCCATGGTGTTTCCAAATCCATCTCACAATGAGTTGAACTTAGCACCCTCTTCTGCTCTGTAAGCATGTCAAAGCTTAGGATGGTGTGGGAACATTGTGTTTAATTTAATAAGAAATAAGATTATAAAGAGGAAAACTAGGTGTATGTCTCAGCAAAAGATTGACAATTAGAATAGGGGGAGAGAATTTCCATTTTGAGAAAAGCTAGAATTAATTCCAGCAGCAAGAGTAGCAACTGAACGGGGGAGGTGGGGCTGATGAAGTGGGGAGAAAATGAAGAAAAATAGCTATATGAGGTGGATGTAAAGTAATCAGATAACTTGTAAGCACACATCAAGCCAATATTTGAATTGGTTTGTCCTTCAAAATTACCTTGAAAGCATTTATCTGCATTCCAGGGATATTGCTGTTGCTCAAACATCCTCGGCACTGCTCTTGGAGATTTTTCTTGTTACTATTTATGGTATGGTTGTACAGTTAGCATAATTTCATAATGATGACAGACTATTGCATTAATTTTATCACTTTGCATGTTTGTAAATGGACAGAAGAAATAGCATTCCATGGATCAACACCTCCCTGTCGCCAGCCTTGATTTACCTAACCCATATTCACGGAGCCTCCGTAGGACTACTGTGGCAGGTGCGATCGACTAGAGCGTCTTCTCTCAAGTGCTCAGCTCTCTCTCTCTTCACAAGGACCAGGGCATGCAATTAAGATCAAAGTCTTTCTTATAAAGTGATTCCGACAGGACAGTGACCAGAGACAAAGAAAGCACAGGTACCAGGCAAGTCCCTAAAGAGAATTCCTTGTCACAAGGGTAACAAATGCTGTTTTGGATTATCTGATGGGACACAGGTGTTGCTTTGATATACAGAATACTTTGCAGTAGTATTTATTATAAAGTGATTTTTATCTGTTTTGTTAGACACAGGCTGAACAGAGGAAGAATGTTAGATGGATTCCAACAAGTGAAATTTGTACACTTGTTCATTTGTTCACAAGTTCATTCAGCTGGGATTTGGAAATATGTGCAATTTCCCTCAATACATCGTTCTGTCAATGCATATATATTGGGCATACTATGTGTTAGGGATGGAGGCAGTGATATAAGACAGACATAATCCCTGCCTTGTTGGTGTGTATATTTAGATATTAAAAAACAGACAATAAAGAGTGGCAAGTTATTATAGGGATGTTTCAAAAGCCATGAGACTATATTGTAGGTATATATATAGTTTAGGGGTCTGGGGAGAATTTTTTAAAAAGTGAAGGAAGAGTGGTATTTAGGGAGATGGAAGGTAAAAGAAGCGCATTAAGGTGGAGAGAATGGTGGACAGAAAAGCCTGGAGATAAGAACTTATCGTGGTGCAACTGAGTGAAAAGAAGTTCAGTGCAGTTACCGGGCAGATTGAGAGAGGAAGAATGGTGTAAGGAGGGGCTGGTGGAGTCAGGGTTGGACAGATCACACGTGGGCCTAAATAAGGGTCTCACTAAGGGGCTTGAAAGGCATTCTAAAACAACAGGAAGCCATGGAAGGATTTCCTAAACAGGAAAATGGTTAGATTTGTGTTTAAAAAGTTTATTTATATAAAGCCTAAGGGCTATGACCAGTGTCTAGAGCCCAGGAGCTCCTTAGGGCTAACTTCTAAGCTTTAATAAATAAGCTTTAAAAATGCTGTAATATGCGGAGGTTGGGGAATCTGGGAGCAGAGGCGATTTGGTGCAGCATAGGGAATAAAGTTCCTGCCTCCTGTAAGGGCCAGGGTTGGGGAGCTGTCCACGAGGCAGGTGCTGAACAGCTGAAGCAGGGGCTGCCGAAGTTTCATGGGCTGTGGGCAGGTGGTGCCAGGTGTTAATATCTACCTCAGGGCTCAGGGTTGGGAGGAAGGGTGTTGCTTTTTTTGGTCCTTTATCCATTTTATTTTTCTCTTTTCCTTATTTATTTTCTTCCTCTACCTTCTCCTTTCTTCCATTTTCATTTTCTGGCAACCTGGCCTACTATAGCTGACTCTCTCTGAAGAAAGAGGGAAGAGTGTGCTTCTTGCACCCCCCCCATTAGTGACTTCTACTTTTGAGAAATCAACAGAGCCCTGATGACAACACGTTCACAAGAAGCCCACCTTTATTTTAGAGTTGCAAGACTCCTTATTATTGCTAAATTGGCCATGCCAGACTCTTTTGAGGCATCAGGTGGAGAGATATTGCCATTATTATAGTTGCTATTAGTAGTTATTACTGACTCAGCATTTACTGTGGGCTAGGCAGTTCACCAACTGCTTGGCTTCCCCAAACCTAAGAGAAGGCTGTATTATTTCTGTTTTATAGAATATAATTTGACTTGAAAGATCAGTGATTGGGATTTGTGCTATTTATTTAATAAATTATTACTGAGGCCACATAACTGGGGGACAAGGATACAAGATATAGGAAATAAAACCTACTAATAGCTACTATCCATAGATTCTTTTGATAGTCATTTTATTTAGTCTCATAACAATCCTGTGAGGTTTTACTGTTATTATCCTCATTTTACAGATGAGGACGCTGAGGCTCAGAGAGGTTAAGTAATTGACTGAAGTCACACAACTGTAAGTGGCTGAGTCAGTTTTTAAACTTGGGACTATGTAATTCTAAAGCCTATGCTATTTCATTCAAAGTGTTTCTTTAGTTTCACGGGCCAGTCACATCTACAATCTAGTTTGATTTTAGCAAGTGAAAGCTGCTGGGTCCCATGTTCCTGTGGTTCCATTTGCCTCTGGGTCTTGAGGCTCCCTGCATCATCTCTATCTCTGGGAGGGCAGCTTCCAACATCAGAGCATTTCAGTGGTGTACAAGAGCCCTGTGAATGGAAGCAGTCTTGTTTTCTGTAATTGCATACTTGCTAGGTCACGAGGCATTATCAAACCAAGCTGCTTGTTCTGAATCCCCACTAGACAGTTTGGTTTCAGTATCAATATTGGAAATGTCTGGTAAACAGCCTTTAACAGGGAGGAGGGAGGCTAAGAACAAAGTCTCCCTCAAATGAAACTCTAGAGGATGAGTGTGAACAGAGTCAACATCTTACTTGCGTTAAATCCCCTGAAGTGGCTATGAAAGAGAGAGGCCTTGCTGGATTGAGGAGAAAAAAATCCCCTTTGATTCATCTGAATTAATTTCCCTCTCCCAGGAGGGTCGGCTCTTGCATCACCCTCATGTTCTCCACTCCCTGCACACAGCCCCCACAGTCCCAAAAGACGAAAGACTAGTCTATAGTGGGCAGCGCCCACACTTCCCAGTTCCTCTACTTTAATTAAATCCATTTGTCCTGGGATCACTGAGCCCTGAAGTGCTCATGGGCTTTGATCTTTAACCCACGCTGAAGGAGTGGGTAGCTGGTGCTCAGAGCAAGGACAGTGCCTTCTTCTTTGATAGCACGGATCCTGTCATGAGCTCCTGGAAATAGCATGCTACAGGAGATTCAGGTGGAGAAGTTGCATGCCAACTGGCATCACACTCCACCTTGCTTTGAGCCCTTTGCCCTCATGTTTTGAAAGTGGATCCACTAGGTTGATAATTTGAATGTTTTAGGAGACTAATGCAGAGGTCGCTCTGGATTATAGGGTTTGATGTTTAGCCCATAAAAGGTCCCCGCCAGACCCATTCATCTGTGCCCCCATTTTAGTCTGGAACAGGTCAGCACCAACCATGGAGGATTCAAGACACCATAGCAGTGTCACGTGAGTGCTGCTGTGCTGCGCTTGCTTCATGCTGACTGCAGGTGGCAGGGTAGTGCCATCCTGGGGAGAGAAGTGGCAGCTGAACCCTCTGCGGTTCCTACTCCATTTCAGAACCACATGGAATTAACCATCTTCTAGTCCAACCCTCTCAACTTAAAGGTAAGGAAACTGAGGCCCAAAGAAGTCAACCATCTGGTTCAAGGTCACAGTGACAGGATCCAAATGGTAACCAGGACTGTGGTAGATGTGCTCCTCTGTCATTCACCTTCATTACCCTGCCTCGGGACCTGACACTGGACCCAGAGTCAGGCTTGTAACTGGTTGGAACTTCACCTCTTTGATTCTCAGTTTGTCTTCTTGTAAAAGTACAGGAGTAGGAAACCGTGATTAGACCTGTCTTATCTACCTTGCAGGTTTTGTCATTAATAAGGAAAAAATAAAATGTCAAATGGGAAATTAAGGCAAAAATCCATCAAATAAGAGAAAATGCTACATACATATAAAGTCTATTATTTGGGAGTAATGTGAGCTGTTCAATTTTATTCTTCCTACAGATGCTGGAGGCAGCGGGTCAGGTCAGGCCAGACCAGCGACGTGGGAGATGAGAGCCCCATTGGCACCGTCATCCCCTGCAGAATCTTGTGCTCCTGGTAACCTACAGGAAGTGCGTGTGCATGCATGTGTACACGTTTGTGTGTGTGCACATCTGCAAGTGTGTCTTGGGCAAAGGTTGGGGGAAGGAGGGAAGAAACGGCCCCCTCTGCACTTTGGCTGATAGAGGCAAAGGGAGCAGGGGCGGTGGGGGGGGAGGCGCACCTGTCAGACACGTCCAGGAGAGGCAGCACCGTCCACTGCCACAGGCTCAAGCCTTCGCTGGCGGCGACCTGCCAGACCAGCCTGCTTTGTTCCCTCCCGGTTTTGTTCTCCACCAGCAACAAGGACACGTTTCCCCTCAAGACTCCACGGATGAGCCAGGACATCCGGAGCTGTGCGGGAAAGAAGAACCAGAGAAGGAGGTATTATCATTGAAAGTAAACCTTAGGTCCCATTCCTAGAATTCTCTGCTGAAGCCTAAAGGATTTTGCTGGAGACTCAGCCGAGGTGGGCTCAGTGAGAACTCTCAAGGTGGCTTTCCAGAAAGTTCAAGGAGCTGGGCAGGGACAGCCGCTGGGCAGTTTTAGAGCTTTGTTTGGGTTAATGTTATCATCCTAAATTTCACAGGATTCTCCCCTGAGGTGATATCAAGATCAACGGGGTATTAACATCCTAGAGAGTAGCCAGAGATTCTTCCCTGGGGCCACAATTCACTCTGGGACCTTGGGCAAGTGATTTTTCCCCCCTTAGTTTCTTCTAGTGATTTAGGTATCACAGATTTATATTTCTTCCCTAAAGACTCTCATAATCTTATTCGAATTGTGTCATGTCACATGTCAGCTAACTGGAGACCCTAGAATTGATGCCTGTCACCATTGACAGGCAAAGGTCAAATACAAATCTACATATCAGGATCTTTTAATAACATTGTCTTTCAGAAAGAGGATGCCCACTTTGCCACAAGGAAGCTACAATTGTGTATTTTCATTGTGTTTTTACTAAAAGTTTCTAAGGTATTGCTCCCTAGACATTTAAAAGGGAATTGTAGCTGGTAATCTTTCTAAGAAAGTTTAAGAACAGTGATGTTAAGAGGCAGTACATACTATAAACAAGTTCTCTGGTCTTTGTGTTTGAAATGATAGAGGTTGTACATTTTGATAGAAACATCTATAAACAACATTGAAAACCTGGGACAACTACATCATGTCATTGCTCAAAATATTTTTGTTCAGATCCTATAATAAAAAATGGCTATTGTAGAAAGAAAGGTAAAATATGTCCTATGGCAAACTGGAATTTTCATGAGATATGGTACCCCCTTTTTCTCTGATTCTTCTTGTTTGAATACCTGCTTCTCTGTAAGTTACCATTCATTTGTCTCCCAGACTCATGGCTGCCTCACAATTTAGTTAAAGAGGTTAAGTACCATGGGCTGCTGCAGCCAGACTTCCCACTCGCTTGCACACAAACCCGTCACTAACAAGGCCACACCTGGGCATTGGAGACTGTAGGGACTGATCTATTTCTGAGACCTTGGACCTGTAGGCCTGGTCTATAACCACAGTCTCTTCACTAACACCTTTCCCACTTCCCCACATCTAGGGTAGCAAATATGTGTCTCCACTGAGAACTTCTAGGATAATTGAGTGAATCTGTTAATTATTTTTTCTGGCCCCAGTTGGCTTTCTTGTGCCAATTGTAACTCTAACCCTGCTAACTCTAAACTCTTTCAGCTCTCAGCCTGTGCCTATCTATCTGCCTTATAGGGTTTTACAGTGACCATTAACTGAGAAAATAAATAATGTAATAATGTGTTAAAAAGGCATTTTGGCTGAAGCACTGAGGCAGTAGATACTACATTTTAAAGGGAAACGTGAGAGCACAGGATGTAGGACTTTCAACAGAGGTGGATAAAAATGGGTTATGCAGTTCTTAATCCCTCACCCATACTTTGGATTTAAAAACAAAAGTTGGTGGTTGACTATTAGGAAAGAGTATTTGGAGTGTGCTTTGGGCATATGCTGAGGTCCACTGCATCCTCCTGCTAAGAAGGAGGATGGGGAGGGGGTTCCCTGTTCATGCCTAGTCAAGAGAGAGGGGTTTTATGATACCATATGGAGCATTTGATACTTACCCCCTGCAGTTTGGGAGCACAGTGGATTAGTGTCTATCTCCTGTCTGGAAAATCTAGAGTTTGAACTAGGGGCTGGTTAGCTGCTATGATGGTAGAACAAGGTGAGGGACATGAATGGCCTCCACTGCCAGGGTTTGCTGGGGCAGAAACGCATGAGTGTGCTACATGGGTGAGAGGAGAGCCATGTGGGAGGGAGCCCGTGCGGGGTCACTTTAGATCTTGTCAAGAGGGAGGTAAACAGACCATAGCAGGAAGAAGCTACCAGTATCTTGAGATTCTCAAGGGTGGAGGAAGGAGGAGGTGCCCACCTGTGATAGAGGTACACACGCCCTAGTCAAGGCAAAGATTCCTGGCCATTGTGGAGGGCTGGGGAGAAAGGGAGCTCTCCAAAGGAGCCACAAAAGTGCCCCATATGAGCAATGGTAAGCCTCAAACATCTGTCACATCTGGAGCACACCAACGCCAGGTCACCCACCAGTCCCAGTTAGGTAAGAATGTTCTTGCTCCCTTACCTCCTCTCTCTCCCTGTGCTTCTAGCCCTGAGGGGTCGGAAGTCAGCAAGGTTACAGAAGAGGAAGAAAGGAGGGTTGGCAACCGGAGAGGGCATTGACCACACCCTTCCCCTGGCTTCAGGCTGTCCATCTGCAATAGAGCCAGGTACCCTGGGCAGGGTAGGGAAGGAACCCCTGACTTTAAGGTGAGATTTAAATTTTGACTGGATGGGCAGGTTGATTACTAAATATGCCTGTGTTTGTGTTTTGAAGTGACTTACGAACTGTGTTACCTCAAAGTGACAGATAAGTGGTGGGTCCTGCCAGAGTCTTCACCCAGCAACCCACACACGGGAGCCCAATAAACGCAGGTTCCCAGACTGCCCTGCACAAGTCTGGTCACCAGACTCCCACCTGCCTGGCGTTTTTCTGCTTCTCTGCTTTTTATCCTTTTACTTTCTCTACCTCCATTTTCCTTCTGTCCACTTAAAAAAAATGAAGCATTTTTCAGGAAGTCTTTTCTTATCATCTATCTCAGAAACAACCACCACCTCCTCCTCCTCCGAAATCTTCTAACTAAGGCTACGGAGACCATCATGGGGTGTAGCCTTGTCTCCCTCCCTGCCCTCCAGCCCCTATAGACCACGAGTTGCTTCCAGGCAGAGATTGTCTTATTCATCTTATGTTCACAGTAGCTGTCAAGCGAGGGCACGTCGTGGGCGCCAATCAATGTCAGAATGAATAAAAATGTATACATGTATTGCAGCTTTACCAGGCTCCTCTCCTAGGGACAGTAAATCAACTTTCTATCCTGTGAAGCTCTTTCGCCCCTTCCCGTACTGTAGGAGTCAGGTTCCGGGGAAGGGGAGAGGATCTCCCACTCCCCAGCCACATGGCTATATTCTAAACTGCCCACTTCTCAGCTGCTCCCTGGAACTTTTCAGTCCGAAGCAGAATCTGCCAGGTGTGTGAGCATGCCAGTGAGATACAGCCCTCTCCTGTCCATGCTGGGGCCCCAGGCCAGCTGGCTGCTAGCTCTTCCTCCATATTCCTGTACTATATGTTGGGCTAACCAGGCTGGGCAAAAGAGAGAAAACTAGGCTGGCCACCAAGGGATGGTGCTAAAGCTGTGGCATCCCTGGCCTCCCAAGGAGGTCCTCTGGGATCCTTCTTTTATCAGTCCTCAAGGGAGATGATCATCTATTCACTCACAGATAGTTACTGCACCTACTCAGTGTTGCAAATTAGGCACATCTTCCCTGCCCTCATGGAGCACAGCACCTAGCTGGGAAGTTAAAATTTAAATGAATGATTACAAGTGTGCTGAGTGTAGCAAAGGGTGGAGCAGTTGGAGCCACGTGACAGTCAAGACATACCACACAAGACAGTCAAAGCAGGATGTGGGAGAGCACACTGTCAAGACTTAGGTCAAGATAGCCACTTGACCCAATTATTCAGAGGTATGGATAAATAGGAGACTTAAAAAATCACCTTCTTTTTTTCTCATCATGGTACTACCCATGTTTATAGCAGGAAACACACATCTACAGCCACAACTCAAGCCAAGGTATGCAAAGTATGTTTGAGTGTTAACAATGTCTCCTTCTAGAAACAGATGCAAAAGTCTTGGAATAAGATTGTGAGCTGGTAGTCAGTTAAAGGCTAGCAAATGTGTATTTTTTACCATTTACTTTTTTTCATCCACTGAGTGAGCATTCAGTAAGGTGCTATACCTAGGAAGATGCTCTTCTTCCTCAAGATATAGGCCGTCTTGTATACAACTGAACCTATGCCTTTCCCTGGGCCTACTTCTCACCTACGCTTATATCTCTTGCCTACTTCCAGATTTTGCCTCTAAGAGTCGGGTGGTTTGGTACTCAGAGTGTGGTCCTCAGACTGGTGTCATCTGTACTACCCGGGAACTTGTTAGAAATGCAGATTCTCTGGCCTGACCCAGAACTACTGAACCAAAATCTGAGTTAGAGCAGCTTCGGGAACCCCGGTCCCTGGGCTCACCCCACTACCATTCTAGAACTCACTGGAAGCAACTTCCCTTTGCATTCCTTTCCAGTGGCCTGTCAAACCATCCTTGTTTTCTTGCCTAGTGACTGGGGCATGACTTGGAGCTTGTGCTTCATGGTTAAAGTGTATTAACCTTGTCACCTTACATCAACCATTGATCTTATCTGAGCCCCTGTTTTGTTCCAGACAAACTTGTGATAATGACCATACCTTCCTTGCCTGCCTTAGAAGGTGGTTATGAAGCCTGAGATTAACAATGTGGAAGCAGAACCCCTGTGACATTGTGAATGAATGTCATATGGTGAAAGCAGTGGTTTCAGCCTGGGGTGCAAATTAGAATCTCCTGGAGCGCTTTCCAAACTGCCCATGTCTGAGCTCCGCCCCAGAGATTCTTATTTCTGTAGCCTCGGGCAGGTGTTGGGCATTAGCAGGTTTTAACATCTCTCCGGGTGATTCTAAAGTGCAGCCTGGGTGGAGGCCACTGGGGAGCTGGGGCTACTTAGTGCCTGGTCCTCTCAGTGAGGGGTCCATTTTCATCTTGGACTTTGAGTAAGAGGCAATTCTTAATAACTTAGAAAAGGTTGGAAATGTGCCCACCACTGTCAGGTGTAGGAGTGATTTTCCTGTCGGGGGGAGAGGAGGGCTTGCAGCCCTCAGCAGAGGGCCTTTTGGGGGCCATCCCATCACCTTCAGGCAAAGACTGAGAACAATCCTGAGAGGGAGAGACCCCTGGGCTGAGGATGAG